CTGAGCAAAGCCTCTCCTCATTTCCCACTTACAGGCCCCTCAGAGCTGTGGGAAGGTGCCTTCACCTCCCCAGCCATGGCTCTACCAGTCGTGGGTACTCACGTTGGCCACCCTTCCCCCGTGGACACGGTGAAGAGCGTGAGCAGAGCCCAGAGCACGTTGTCATAGTGGAACTCGTATTTTTTCCACTCCCTGGGCTGGGCCTCCACCTCATTTTTTTCATAATCGAGGTACTGACCCCTAAGAAAAAAGAGAGATTTGGAGCAAATGAGGGAATTAAACCGAAATCAGCCATTCCTTGTGGGTCACTGAGGAGCATCCAGAAGCCCCAGTGGCACAGGGATTAAAGGCAAAGAGGCAGCCCCTCTAGGCTTGTGACAAAATCCAGGCCAATTTTTGAGCCATTTGCAGCCACAGGAACTGGATCTGAGGTCTAGAAATAAAAGAAATTGTAATCAGGGCATTCATCCATTCATTAGGCAAAACAATCAATTAACAGCTGGTCCCCAAATCGTGTGACCCCACTAGAAAACTGTGCTGCTTGTTGGGGAAAAGGATCTGGTTCCTACTTCAGGGTAGGAACTAAATCCTAAAGGGGTCTTGTTTTAGGGGCCAAGGGACCTGGAATCTGGAGAGCTGCCCTCTAACCTACACCTTTGTGTAATGTCTTTCTATATTTACATCATTCCAAATGTATTTACATCATTGCAGGGAAGTGACAGCCCCTGTGACTGCTGGGATCCCACCAGGGACAGGCCCTGCATGCACGAGGCAGCAGGAGAGGGATGGGCAGAGCTGGACAGTGCTGAGGATGTGCTTTGGGTGCCAAGAAAAAAGGCAAATGAGGAAGATGCACATTGAGGTAACACACCTTGAGCCTGCTGGAAGGGCAAAACATGACAGGGCTTTTAAGGTATTCAATCCCTTGTCTTACTAATTAGGAGCTCTTTGACTTCCTAAGCTTCTGCTTCTTCAGTCATTATGTTTTTCCAGTTCACAGGAGTTGTAAGAATCAAGGCAACAGGCGGAAAGAGGAGTCACACTGTCAAAAACCCTTCAACCCTTCAAAGACCCTTCATTTAAAAATCACACCTAGATCTCCCTGGGAGAGAAGGTGACTCCCCTGCATCCTTAAGCATTTAGGGAAGCATTTGCTGGATCAAAGCCAGCAATGACACAGCTATTAAAGAAGAAAAAGGAGAATTCACCTCTAGGGTAGCTGTGCTGAGGTGTTGCTCTCACTTACAGGAGACTCTTGGTGCTCAGCAGATGATGCAGCTCTGGAAGAACCTGAGGAGCTGCTGCTGGAGGAGGAAAGTTGCTGCCCACCCTGGCCCTGCCCCCAGCTGTACCTGCAGTCCTTCTCCAGCTCCTTGGACTCGTCAGTGCAGTAGAAGAATCTGCCCTTGAAGAGCTGCACAGCAATGACGGCAAAAATGAACATGAAGAGCATGTAAACGATGAGGATGTTGAGGACGTTCTTCAGGGAGTTCACCACACAGTCAAAGACAGCCTGAGGGGGAGGAGAACAAGATCAAGGGCTTGGGAGAGAGGAAAAGTGCATCGAGCAGCTTGGCATCCATCTGACCACACTTCATACACTCCTGGAATGCAGGACTGGTTTGGGTTGGAAGGGACCTTAAAGTCCATCTCATTCCACCTCCTGCCATGGGCAGGGACACCTTCCACCAGCCCAGGTGGCTCCAAGCCCCGTCCAACCTTGGACACTCCAAGGGATGGGGCAGCCACAGCTTCTCTGGGAATTCCACCCCAGGGAAGAATAACTTCCCAATATCCAACCTAAATCTCTCTCCCTTGGGAGTCATCACCCAACCCACAAGCCATGGGTGGGTTCATGGAACTTGCCCACCAAGGGTTTGACCAAACACATCTCAAAGCTGTGAGAAATAACTCCAGCTTCCTTCATCTCCTGCTTTCTTGGCAAGTTTGGCTGTGCCACTGAATTTTCTGGTGCTGCCTATAAAATTTATAAAGACAATCACAGCTTTTTGAGATAAATATTCATCCTAAACAAACACTCCTATGGCCAATTATGAAATTAAAATTGTACTTGTGTTTGTTTTACTCACTTACTGGATAACTAAAAACTGCTTGAATAATATGGAAAATATACCAGATACAAACCAAATGTTTTGAATAATATTTTTCTAAAGAACTATCTCTAAAATTTGAGTGTGACTAACCCACGTGTCACTTCTGAACTCCCTGCAAAGAACTCCTCATTTATTACTTGGTTATTAGTCCCCGATTCAGTGTTACAAGTAATTTGCAGTTTGATTTTAGTCTGAGAAGTTGGTCATCATCATAGAAATGGAGTGGTCTTACTGCCCAAGCTCAGGGTTAGCACAATACTGCTCCTGCTTCTAGGAATGGAAGTGACTAACTCCCAAAATTACACTCCTGAAGCAACCCAGAAACGCTGAATTAAAACACTGGGAATATCTCTGATCAGCCCACGAATCTGATTGTTTCTCACAAGACCACATCCAGGGGAAAAAAAAAAAATTGAAATTGTCCTGTTGCTTGTTATTTGGGAGCAGAGCCTGACCCCCCCCGGCTCCCCCCTCCTGTCAGGGATTTGCAGAGCCAGAAGGTCCCCCCTGAGCCTCCTTTTCTCCAGGCTGAGCTCCCCCAGCTCCCTCAGCTGCTCCTGCTGCTCCAGCCCCTTCCCAGCTCCGTTCCCTTCCCTGGACAACGCTCCAGCCCCTCGATGTCTTCTGCCCAAAACTGACCCAAGTTCACTTCAAAAACCACATAAACACAACTTCTGCTTCACATAAAGATTTCTGGGTATTTCTTCAGAAATTAGAAGACCACTCTGTAGAATGGCTTGAAAATCAGAATTAAGTAAAATCAAGTGTTTCGTGTCCTGCTGGAGGACTGACCTCCTGTTGACTTTTTTTTTTTTTTTTTACCTCAGAGCTTTACCTTTGAAATTTCTAACCAAATGAAGACCATTTTCTGCACTGTTCAACATTAATGTTCCTTATCTTTTCAGAGACATTTAGTATGCATAAAATCAGAATTATTTCAGCCTGAATGGTGGGCAAGGACAAAAGCAAACCTGTGGAACAGCTGACCTTCATTTTGATGTGCAAACAGGAATTGTCAGACAAAAGCACCCACTGCTTTCCTCCCACCTCTCACAGAATATTCAGTAGGTATTCAGAAGTTCCCAAACCTCAGAAATTATTGAATTTTGTTAACTCCTTCCCTTCTCTGCTTCCAGGGAGTGGCTGTACCTCAAAGTGTTATTGAAATGGTGTTGAATGAGTAACCACAGGTCACTATGTTTATTTTAATTTGTAGCTTAGAGGTGAAAGGGTGCACTCTAAAACCCTGCACTATGGATTATTTACTAGAAAGATGAGCAGATTAAAACTCCTCTCACAGCAATGACATTTCCCTTTTGACAGCCCGTGGAAAATCCTGCAATATTCATGTTAAACTCTCCAGGGAAAGTCAAACATTCCAACCCCCCATTTTCTCCTGTATCATTTCTAAGAGCATCCCACTTACGAACTGTAATTTAATTTATTTGAGGGTGTTTGGGTTGGTTTTTTTTTTTTGTCTTTTCCTTTTTTTTAGAAGTTTTATTTTCATAGGGGCTCACAACAATTCATAACATTGCCCACAATGTTTGCAAAAGAAAACAAGTGTTTGGCATTTGCTAAACATCTGCACAGCTATTTTTACCGATCTGGCAAAGGGATTAATTGCAACGAAATCAAAGGAGCAGAAATAACTTGGGTTGGGTCCATCAGCTTCTACTCAGATCAGTCACAAAGCTCCAGAGAAGGAAAAAAATTGGGGTCATTTTCTAACCTTTAGTTTTGGCAGCCGTTTGATGGTTTTCAGAGGCCTGAGGACCCGCAGAACTCGCAGGGACTTGATTGTGTTGATGTCCTTGCCTTTGGTTCCTCTGCAGGGGAGAAAAGGCACAAGAACAACAATAATTTGGTCCTCAGGTCACTAACCTGGATATTTGTAGGTGGAGTTGTGGTGGAGTTGGTTTGGTTTGGGGTGGTTTTTTACAGGTTTTGGGTCCATCCTCACCGTGGCTGCAGATGAGCCCCAGCTGAGACGTGTCCACCAGCGCCATGGGCAGGGCATGGTCCTGGCACTGCTCACCACATCAGCCTTCTCTCCCTTCCCAGCTACTCACCGAGCATCCCCCAGGATCTGGGGCCCTTCCTGCCCCGACTCCACACCCAGCCAACACTTCCTGCTCCAGCCACCAGGACAGGAGGCTCAGCACGTCCATCCCAGCCCCGGGAGAAGGGACAAAGTCACACTTGGCTCTCCTTCCTCCCGAGTGAGTGAGGCGGGAGGAGGTTTCTCCTCTGACAGGAACATTGTGCCTGGACAAAGCAGTGACCAGAGGCAACAGGAGCCTTCCAGGTGAGGGACAGAGCTCTCCTGCTCCACGACAGGGCCCTCATCCTTGAGTGTCTCTTGGCAGACATGCTACCAAACCCATGCAGGAACATGTAATATTGCAGCATATTACATGCCTGGAACGGTGCTGGGGCAACCTCCCCCTTAGGCATGCAAGGTGCTGTAAGTCACAGTCTGGGTTTAGGTTTGGTTAAAACTCAGTGCAAGGCTTGAGAAGGTCCCCGTTGTTAACAGCAAGAGGGGTTTTTTTGGGGGGGAAGGACAGAGGTCCTTTCCTCGTGCACTTCCAAAAATAAATAAATAAATAAATAAATAAATAAATAAATAAATAAATAAATAAATAAATAAAGACACAGTTACATCTTCTTCCAACCCGACAGCAAAACAATGACATTCCCCTTCGGTTCACATGAAGTGAAAAATGGGATGAGAGTCTGTCACAGAGTTTTATTCATGAGTGTGGGTTTGGGTCTGAGGCTGTACTGAGGTAACACAGGTGTGAATGAGTAACAGGTGGAACAGATGCTGAAACGCCTATTCTGTGCTCTCCCAGTTGGCTTCTTCTCCAAGAGGAAAAAAATAGAGGTACAAGTGACCCAAGAGACCCACAGGAGGTTTGTGCAGGGCCTGCAGGGCTTCAGGAAACCACCCAGTTCCGTGCCTGACTGACCCTGCTCAGCCCTGCAAAGTGTCTTCTTGCAATCAATCCACTGCCAAAAGGCTTAGAACTCACAGCTAACACTGGAACTCAACACTAAACTGGACTGGAATCTACCACCCAACTCATCTCTCTCTTTTCTTCAGTAACCAGGCCCTGCAGTTGTCCTGAAACACAAAATACCCATTATATATTCAAAAGAAATAATATTTGATTCTCATTAGAAACCCTTTAATCTGTTCCAGATGAAGCAGGCACTGCCAACAGAGCTTTTCCTGGCTTTCTTTTCAGGTTTGAGCACAGCTGAAGGTCTGGCCCCTGCTTGGCTTGGCATATTTGCTTTCAACTCCCCCAACTCCCAGCAAGTACCATCCCTGCTGTGGTCACTGGAGCCATCTCCATGTCACCACAGCTCATCTGCAGCTCACCTGCTCCAAGGGGGTTTTGTCTGAGCCCTGGCTGCAAAACAGTTTGTTCATCCTCTCACAGGGAGGACAATCAGTGGCAGGAGGGAAGCAGAAAGGGAAATGGGTTGTAGGGAAGGAGATATCAAAGGAGGTCCCAAAGGAGATCCCAAAGGAGATCCCAAAGGAGATCCCACCTGGCCTGGCCAGCCTGTTCCCAGGACTGATGGTCCCCCCCATCCCCTTGGCTGCCCCTGCTGCTCCCTCCACCCTCTCCCCTCTGGAAGGCCAAGCAAATCCCTGACATTGCTCCACCTTTCCCAGGGTTTCCCTCCATGAGGGAGGTGGCAGCTGAGGAAAGCAGAGATGAGAGAAGAGTGAAGGTGAGACAGTTAAAGGCCACTTTGGGGCAGGAGGAGGGGAAATAAAAGAGATGGGATACTCAGCCCAGAACTCTCCTCATTCTCCGTCGTTGGTGGCCACGTTTCTGGTTTGCAGATTAACACACAGCCCCAAAAAACCAAACTCAGCACTGCTCTCCTGGGCTCACCCAGAACCCCAGATACTCCATGTGCTGCCTGCCAGTGCTCCCAAGTCCAGGAGACCTGGACACCTGCACCACACTAATTAACAACTGCACTAATTAGGCCTCGTGGAAGACAAAGTTCCAGATCAGAACTCGGCTCTGGTCTCACAGGTTGGCCCCACTCCTGAAGCAACAAACTCCTGTGGACTCAAGATTTGTAGGGAGGTCAAAGAGACCTTCTGGGGGCTCGTGGCTCCGTGGGGCAGAGCAAATCCTCGCTCCTGCTTTTCCCTGGCACGGGCAGGGGTGTGTGGATGAGTGCACCGAGAGCTGGGAGGTGAAGGGCAGGCAGTTCCAGTCACACACAATTCCTTCTGCCTCAGAGAAGGACACTAAGAAGGGCTGATTTCTTTTTCTCCATTCAGGCACTTAAGCAAATAAAGAGCGTGAGCCAATTAAATGTTAATGGGATTTCTGCTCTAAGCCATGGAGAGAAATCCTGAAAAACATCCTTATTTCTTGTCACAGGAAGGTTCCTGCTCTAGGCCTGGTGCTCCGAACTGCAGCGATGCAAATTGCATTTTAATTTAAAGGACACACTGCAACTCTTTCAGCGTCTCAAATAAAACCCTCAGGGTTGTTTTTTGGTGTTTTTAAGAACCCCCTCGACCAATATTGGGGGTTTTTTTCACTGCTTTAATACAAAGCCAGATGTCCAACAAAATAAAAGGTCCAGATGGAAACAGGATTCAGTCAAAAGGTGTATCCAAGCACACATTTGACCTGAATATTCCTCACAACAAAAATAAATTGCTATGGAAGGGCAAGATGTCAGCTGACTGCAGAAGAACAACTGCAAAATTCAGAAGAGCTGAATTTTGAAGAAGAGCTGTAGAGGGTCACAGGACAAACGCAGACAGCAAACAGCAGCCTAGAGACTTAAAAATAATAGTAATTTAAAAGGAATTCTATGAATAAAAAAAATTGCATTAGATCAATTTTAGTTGCATTAGGCCAGTTCTGGGGTTTGGTGTTGTTTGTTGTTTTTTTTTTCTGTGGCAGTTTGCTGCTTGTTTATTTAAAACGTTATAAAAATATTTTAAAAGAGCTTCGCAGAGCCTTTTCTTCCCCCTTTAATAAATCAAGGAGCCTTTAAAAATTGAAGAGTTCTTTCAAATGGAAGCTCCTTGTTTCTGCAGCTGCTGCCAGCAGCTCTGATTTCACGAAACATGGGCTTCTCAGAACCGTGGCATCAAAAATTCAGGGTAGGGTGGAGCCACTGCCTTCTGTGAGTGCCCCAAACCCCCCAAGGCACAGAGTGAATTCCTCTGTGAGGAGTAAAGGAGGTCACACCACTCTGCCACAAACACAAAAAGCCACCCTTTTCCCTGGCTCTAAATGCTCTGCTTTCCTCGAGAGGAGAAAGAATCCAGGACCTCAGTTCCCTGGACCTTCCTTGGCATCCTTCCTGTGGCAAGGAAGGATGATGCTCCTCCGCTGTGGAGGAGCCCACCCAGCTGGGGATGAGTTGGGTGGTGACACAGCTCTGTCCCCAAAAGCAGGGCTGTGCTGCCCTGCACAGACAGCAAAAATGCCACCTCCTTGGAGAGCGTTAAACAGGAATTTCTGACCCCCCTCCTTCGCAAGTTGCCCCTTCCAATCTCTCATAAAACTCTCCACGCTCTGTTCTCACCTCCAAGACTTTTCAGGGCCGGGTGGCCTTGCCCAGGCTGCTCCAAGTTAGCCCTGAAGCTTCCAGCACTGCTGTTTAGAGGTGAAATCCTCCAAGAAGAGAATAAAACTGCTCCTTTAAACCTTATTATTAAGATTTCCAGGAATTGCAACTCCCCCATCAGTGAGGCGCCCACTGAGTCACCTGGTGCAGATGCATCTGCGTATTTTTTGGTCAAGACTCTCTGATCTACCTGGCTTTCTATCCCTGCCTAAAGAAAATCGGGATGAATGAGGATTGTTAAGGGAAATTTCACTGGATAATGGGTAATAAAGGGACGAGGGAGTCGATGCAATGGGTGGAACATGGGTTGTTTCAACAGTGGTGACTGTTGGACAGGCAGAACAGTGCAGCAAGAGACAGGAATAACATATTACCCCATGAAACTCCTAGAGAGAGATTCCAGCAAGGAGAAGACAAAGAAAGAGCAGAGTCAATGACAAACAGAAACATCAGTGCCCCCTCCCCTGCACACAGAGATACCCCATTCCCTGCCCCACATCCCTCCCCCCCCCAGAATCCAGGAAAATACACAAGCACCAGCCCTTCCACTCACATGAAAATGTCCCTTCCCCCTCCTGACTTTATGTCCACAAAAATAACGGAATTTCTCCTGGAAATGCTTCGCTAAATGGATCAATTTGATTATTTTATTACCAGCAGCATCAGTGTTATTGTTTTTAACATCTCTCTGGGGGCTTTTTCTAAAATTTATTTTAGTTATTTAAAAAAAAAAATTATTTCTTTTTAAATATTTGAATTAATCAGGTCCTTCCATTCACATGAAAATAAACCCTGACCACTCCTGACCACTCTGGGAGGTGCAGCCTCGACTCCTTGGCAAATGCTGGTGGATTTTCCAAAGAGAATTGTGACATTCTGTGCATCTCCCCCACCTCTGGGCTGTTCCACCAGACCCAGACAAACTCTTTGCTGCTCCTCAGCAGCTGTTTCTATCAACAATACATTTTGCACCTGGGGCTGATGGGTTTGGATGACAAATTTTGCTTGCAAAGTTCGCTTTAAGCTCCTTTATTTCTACTTCCCTCAAGACTCAAACATGTGTCTGTGGCATGTTTATCTCCACAAAAATAAAGGAATTTCTCCTTGAAATGCATTGCTAAATGGATAAATTTAATTAATTCATTACCATCAGCATCACTGTTATTGTTTCTAGCATCTCTCTGGGGCTTCTTTAAAAAATTTAGGGTTTTTTTTCCATTTTGTTTATTTATTTTGAGCTACTTTCATGCATTTATTTATTTTTTAACTCCAGTTAAGCACAGAACAGCTTCTAAAGGGGCAGAAAGCAGAGCAGCAGCTGGTTGGAGAGGCTGAGATGGGTTTGTTGAATCTTGCAGCCACGACTGATGCCATCTCATGTGCTTAAACAAACACAGGCTGGTGCGATATTCCAGCTGGGAGCTCTGTCATTCCAAGGTTTTTAGTGACTATTCAGCAAGAAGCTCCTTCACACCCCCTGCACTGGACACCAGCGAGGTCAAGGACGTGAATTAAACCACACCTTGCATGGGGTGATTGTGTGTCCTGGCAAACAAACCGGGAACAGCCACAATAAATATATTTATTACACCGCTGGTGGGTGGCAGGGCTTGCTAGAAAAATCCAGCTAAACAACAGAGATGATCCCGCTGATTCTCCAAGAGCTCATTGTCGGGATTATCAAAATTCAGTGTGTCCAGTTTAAGCAAGCAAAGAGGACAAGACTCTCTCACGTTGTATTCTGAGACCTGTTCTTCTTTATAACTGGAACAGAGAGCAAATAATCTCCTGGGGAGTGACTGAATTAAACCAGGAACACTCCAAATATTCCCTGAACTGGACATCCCCTCCTGTTGAAACGTGGACTTGGGGCAGAGGTTACAGAAATCATCAGAATCACAGAAGAAATTCAAATTTTTCCAAGTCTCCCGAGGGGTTTGTCTCACTTAAACCTGGGAGACAGTAACTAGGCAGGTTTTATGCATTCCCTGCCCAACCCCTGCTCAATTCTCACTCAGAAGGTAAAATAGAAGCAGCTTGGGGCCCTATTCTAAAGCACAGGCAGGGGATTTAAAAGTAATTTATTTAGAGGCTGATGAGGTGCTGTTAGATATTCATGGCCCAACAGAGAAAACCTGAGCATGAAAAGACTCCAAAAGATTAAAAATTATTCATTTTAATCCTTAACTTGACCAAAAGGAAAAAAAAAAAAAAAAAAACAAAAACCAAACCTTGCCCTGAAAGTTTGAATTCCTGATGGGAAAGGGAAATTCTCATTGATCTGCAGACTTGGGGAATGTTGTTTTGCAAAGTAATACTTGTGACTGATTATTTTCCTTTTATATGTCTTTTCCATTCAAAGGAGCTCTGTGTTAAGCTGCTAAATGCTTTTTTTTAGGAAGGTTTTGCTTAGTCTGGCCACATCCAGCTCTAAAAGCTGTTCTATAATATATTCCATGTGCAGGGAAAATAAGTCCCACACATGTCTAGTCGAGCTTAAAAAGCAGCTTGGTTTGGGGTGTTAAATTTTAGGTCAGCAAGACATTCACCAGGCCAGGAATTGCATCTCAAGGTTTGCTTAGGACAGAGCACTCAGCTCCTCAAAAAAACCTGATTTTTAACAAATAGGGACAAAATGTTTCTCGAGGGGAGGGCAACATCCCTTTGAAAAACTTCTGTTGGGTGTGACTTTCTCCAAAACGTCAATAATTCTGTACTCGTGTAATTTAAATAATTAATAATTCTGGAGGATCAGGCACAGAAAGCCCAGATCCCAATATTCCCAAGTGTCACTCCTCAAAAATCACACCAACGATGTCAAGCCCATCTCTTTCAGTCCATCCACTTCTTGGTCTTTTTATTATTATTATTATTATTATTATTATTATTATTATTATTATTATTATTATTATTATTATTATTAATTATTATTATTATTATTATTATTATTATTTTATCCAGCATTTACGGAAAATAGAAGACCTAAAACACAAATATTAACGTGAAAGGAATTTTGATGCCTCAGAAAATGCAAAACTTCTGAGAAATATTCCAGGCCACCCTTCCCAGAAAGGACTCGGTAAGTTTTTTTGTGGTGCAAAGGACACGTTTTCCACCGGCAGAGCTTGACAAGAGGAGCAGGGGATGAAGTTTAAAATAGACAAGACACGCTCCTGCGGTTCCCTGACAAAGGGGAATGCTTTTCTCATTAGCAATTAAACCCTGCTAATTCTCATTAGCAAGTTAAACAATCGCCTGGCCGCTAATCATCGACCAACAGGTGAGAGGAGCCTGGGCATGGGCTGCTAAACGGCCCTACAATTGCTCGGGGCTAATTTAGCAGAAGAATTAACCGGCCGAGCCCTGCGGGCTGGTTCCAGGTCATCTCCTATTGTTTCTCCGGGAAACATTTGCGAACAACTCTTTCCACGGCCCGGAAATTCAGGTGGAACATTTCCTTTCACTGGTCCAGCTCTGAGCTCCTGGAGCTCTGCAGGACCTGCATTGCTCTTCTTGTGGTTGTCCCTGAGAAAAGAGCTCAAAGGAAAAGCTAATCCTCGTTTTTGAAACAGCAGTTCCTCTGTGGCCGGTGCTGAAAATCCTCCAGGATATTAAGGAAGCACAGGGAATGTTGTTTAATGTCATAAAGACAGAGCTGTGTTTGAGGGAGGGAGCAATGAGCCTTAAAAACCGTGGAAATACAAGTTCCCTGAATGGGAGAGGAGAAAAGAGGAGAGAAATGCCAAGGTCTGTGAACCAGAAATACCCACAACTCCAGAACTAATGTTTTGCAGAGAGTTCACTGAGTTATCAGCTGATTTCATTAACTACTTTCTCACAGTAAGAGCAATTCTTCCGACGATTGCCCGGAGACACTGGACTGCCACAAACTGTTACAATATGTTCTTGAAAAGAGGTCGGCCAAACAGTCACAAAAATCTTGGCTCAGTGTTTGAAGGAGCAGTGAATGGACTCACCCTAAAGCTGGAGAATTTTCAAGAGGTTCGACAGCACAAATTTAGTTGGTTTGTTTTTTTTTTTCTTCCCCCCCCTCAAGCTATGAGATGAAAACTGAGCATTTCACTGAGAAATGGGGCCACACGTGTTATGCATCAACTCCCTCTGTGCCAGCTCCTGCCTCCCCTGTGATTATTCCCCAGAAATTGGGATGTTGAGAGAATGTACTTACGAGAAGGCAAATGCCACCAAGGCCCCACTGACCACAATGAAGTCCAGGATGTTCCACAGGTCACGGAAGTAGGAGCCAGGGTGGAGTAACAGCCCCAGGTCAATCATCTTGAGAGGAGACACATGGAAAGAAAAGAGTTTTAATAAAACCTGCACCAAATCAGCACTGCCAAGGTACAGGAGAATGTTCTTGATCAAATGACCCTACACAACATGGAAATGCTTGGCCAAGCTGCTCCTTTCTAAGAGGCACAAAGAGCTCTGCCAGAAATTAAGCTCAAAAGTCAATAAACCAGAACCAAAAGCTCAAGAAAAGAGTCCCCACTGCAACCCAGACATGGATTAATCTAGGTGTTATTCTGCATCTCTTTTGTGTCTTGCTCTGACAGTAAAACCTACCCCAGGAATAAATCCTGACTTTATTAGGATTGTGCTTCCTGGAAAGTTGCTGCCCCACAGTCTCAGCAAAGCCTGTCACCCTACTGAGTAAAGTCAAAAGATAAATCCTCAATTTTTTGAGATGTGACAGAGCAGGAATCAGTTGCTGTTAACATTCCAAAAGGAGAAGGGAAGATTCAGACATGTCTCAGAAAGGTCTGTCAACTCCCGTGTCTTTAACCACACACTTCAGGCATTTCTTATCCTCTTACAGAGCCACAGCTACTGAAAATATCTTTATTTTCCTCCATAAATTGTGAGATTAAAGAAACCAGGAGAGCCACTACAGAAGGACATCTGGCTACTTCTGAGAGCTGTTCTCAAGTTAAAGCTTTTCCATCACTGTCACCTCTCCAGGGAGTTCTGTCCTGCTCCCCCCCTTCTCCAGCATCCCAGAAGTAGATGAATGTAAATTTAAAACAGGAGGTGAATCTTTCTGCTTGGAGAAATTCTTACCTTGATCACCATCTCAAAGGTAAAGACACCTGTAAATATATAATCCAAGTATTTCAGAGCCTAAATGGGGAAGAGAAATGTGTGTTAGGAGAGTTTGGTTTGCCACCCGCAGACAAGTAGGTTTGCTACTGATACTTGGAGTATCCTACCATGCTCCACCAAAATAAAAAAAACTTACCTGGTTTAACTTCCTCAGGCTCTGCTCTAGCAGGAGATCTTAGGACAATGCCCGATCCCTGGGAGTGTCCAAGGCCAGGTTGGACAGTCCTTGGAGCAACCTGGGATAGTGGAAGGTGGCCCTACCCATGGCAGGGGGTGGAACGGGATGAGCTTTAAGCTTTTCCCAGCCCAAACCATGCTGTGATTCTCTGATTCTGGGTGAGGCCTGGCTGGTGACCAGAGAAGCTTTTCCCATTGCTGAATTGTGTCCCAGCTTCTCCACACAGGTCATATCAGTGATTTCCAAGTTCTGAAACTCAGATGTGGTTGAAGCAGCAGAAAGGGACAGGAACTGTGAGCATTTTATCCTCCAGCTGGGAGGGACCCACAAGGATCATCCAGTCCAACCCTCAGCCCTGCACAGGACCATCCCCAAGGGTCACCCCCTGTGCCCCAGAGGATCATCCAAACCCTCCTGGAGCTCTGGCAGCCTTGGGGCTGTGCCCACTGCCCTGGGGAGCCTGTTCAGTGCCAACCACCCTCTGGGGGGAGAACCTTTTCTTAACCTCCAGCCTATCTGGAGAGTGGCACAAGCACATTTGAGTGTTCCCAACACGAGCTCTGGTTTTTCGCTGTGTCATCCTTCGGGGACGGGAACGGACAGTCCACGTGCCGGGAGGAGCAGAGCAACGTTTCTCTGCCCATGTTGGTTGGTACTCACATCATTTCTGGGTGACTCAGCTTGGACAGGGTCTTCTGCAGCCAGGGCAATGCTGCTGAGGGCGATGACGATCAGGATGACCATCTCGAAGTAGCGCAGGTTGACGATGTAGTGGAAGAGCCGCCGAATCCTGCAGGCAAAACAAGCACAGGGGAAGGGTTTGTCACAGTGGCACGACAGGCTGGCACAGGGACAGGGTTCCTCAGGAGCACGACCTTTAGGATTTTTGCCACAGTAAGGGTAATAAAATAAAAAAACCCATGAGCGACGGGTTGAAATTCTGGTTTGCAACAAACGTGGGGTGAGATTTAAAGTAAGATTTAAACATCCCTGCACTGCTCCCTGCAAAGCAAAGACATCTCTTTATCTCTGTATTTATCTATTTCTCTCTCTCTCTCCACCCATCAAAAGGGCACTGAGAGCTTCCAAGCCTTCAGACTCGATTCTGCAAATTCCTCAGGAACACCACCTTTAGGATTCCTGTTAGAGTGAAGGTAATACAATAAAAACCACGAGCAACGGGTTTAAATTCCAGTTTGCAACAGATCTGTGGTGAGATTTAAGGTCAGAGATTTAAACATCCCTGCACCACTCTCTGCAAAGCAAAGACATCTATTTATCTCTCTATTTATCTCTCTATTTATCTCCCTATTTATCTCCCTATTTATCTCCCTATCTATTTATCTCTCTATTTCTCTATTTTTCTCTCTCTCCATCTGCCAAAAGGGCATTGAGAGCTTTCAAGCCTTCAGACCTGATTCTACAAATTATGTTTATCTCCTCCCCTGCCCTTCTCCCTTTGAACCCCCAGGTTAACATCCTGCGAGTTCAAAACAAGGTTGGAAATCCTTTTAATATCAACTAATCCCTTTAAAACTGAGACACAGGCACTTGGAGCCTCAGCTGAAACTGCCTTTGTGGCTGAGTATTATTCCTTCCAATCTCTCCCTTGCCAAGTATCTCTGCCTTCACTTTAAGGTACCCTTTCTAAGCTGCACAAATACTTTACAGTAATATATTTGATTACTTTACCCATAATCTTTTTATTCACAAATCGTGCCCAAGAAAAGTGACAAATGCTTCCATCTCTAAGCAATCCAAAGCTATTCACAAATTTCAGCTAATAACTCTATCTGACCACAGTTCACAAGTCCTTAACTGCACACAGAGCTCTACATTTGCACCGTATTTGTCAGCTGAATAAAGGACTTGGGTTCTGCCTGGGAATCAAATTACATATTTAACTCAGCAACAACTTTTATCTGAGAATGTGTTTTCAGCTGCTATATCCCATTTTCTCCAAGCAAATATCTGAGGAGTCAGAATTCAAGTCTGTTTTTTTCACATCTACTTCCCGTATTCCCTCTCCTTGGCTTGCTAATGGATTCAGAATGAAAAAAAGAGCGACAAATACCAGGGAAAACAGATTTGATAGAAAATAACCCGAAGAGAAGTGCTTTTGTAGATCCCTTAACTCTGGTTATCAATCTGACAGGGGAAGATTATCATCTACGTGGCTCCCTGAATCCACAGAAGGGAAAGGCAACATTTTCCATAACATTTGTAACTGTAATTCTTGAGAGAAAAAAAAAAAAAAAAAGCTCAATCCATCAAAGAAACAACAAGGCCCTATTTTTAGACCTTCATCATTCACAACCAGCAGCGGGATGGCGGGAGCGTTTGTAAACTGCCAGCGGGGCTCGAGAAATCACTTTGCAGCCACGGCTGCTCTCAGAGGGTGGTGGCTCTTGGAAAGTAATGCATTTTATTTAATGCATTTTATTTATGCTTCTCTGCACTGTTTTTGCCCCCTGGCAGCACCCGGGTCGTGCATCCCCCAAGATGGGATGTGTCAGCGTTAGAGCGAAGCTTCCTCCCCCAGAAAGCAGAAGGATCTCTCTGGAGAATTTACCACCAGCCAAAACACCTGAGGGCATCCAGCTGGGGCTGCATCTTGCCCAGAGGAGGAAAAACAAGTCGCTGACAGTCCTTGAGTTTGGTCTTTGTCTTGTTATTCCCTCTTGGCCCTGTGTTATAACGCGTTTTCTCTCCCAGTGAACGTGGGTTCTTTTGGTGCAGCTTTTGGGGGACTGGGGGGTGTGAGCTGGAGAAAACTGCAGGGCAACTGAAACAACACAGCAAATGCTGCACTGGGGGGCTCAGGAGGTCGTAACTGTAGGATGAGGTGAGAGGAAATGAGCAGATATATGGAACAAAAAATTCTTGCTTCTTCTCTGTCCACCCCTTCTGGGCCGGGGACCATCTTGCTTCCCACCCAGCAGTGCTGCCTTAGCAGACATTTTGCAGCTAAAGCTCATTTTTGGTGGTCACTCCCCAATAAAAAGGCTTGAGCTACCAAATATTAGGGAAGTACTATGTCCTTATCCAGCTAGACAAGTTTCATAATCCTAATTTGGCTCCCCAGGGCAGTGGGCACAGCCCCAAGGCTGCCAGAGCTCCAGGAGGGTTTGGACAAGGCTCTGAGGGACAGGGTGGGATTGTTGGGGTGTCTGTGCAGGGCCAGGAGCTGGACTGATTATCCTGGTGGGTCCCTCCAGCTCAGGATATTGTGTGATTCTACGACTTTATTCAGCCTGTCCAGCGTCTGACGTCAAATATGAACTCGTTTTGTCCCACTGACAGTACAGACAGCTGGGATGTCACAGTCCTGAGGAGCAGGAGGTGTAGGAGGACTCATCTTCTCTCAAATCGAGCTGCCAAATAAAGGCCTGAGTTCTCCTTTGGTACCTGAGCATAAACCTCAGAGAGAAACTCCAGGATCTACACCACATCTACCCGAGCCAGAGGGAAACAACCACCTCTGCTCCTCGGAGATCTCCAGCTTGGCTGAAGTTTTAAACTCCCTAAAAATGACTCACAGCCCTTCCTGCTACAATTATTACAACCCCTGCTGCTCCCCCCTGGTCCTGCAGCCCCCCAGAGCGACACACTCAGCGTTCACAGGCCATGAGCACGAAGCTGAGCACGAGGCAGAGCCGCCTGGAGCGGAGGAGATGCCGTAAATCCCAACAGATCCCACCAGCTGCGCTCTCAGCCTGGGCAAAGGAAAAACAGCCGTGTTTTCCCACAGGTTCAAGGTTTGCACTGATGTGAAGGTGCCAGGATGGAAAGAACAGGGAATTCCAGCTAAGGAACCTGCAAGAATTTGCTGTCAGGACCAATCTCCCCGACATGCTCCTCCGGGTATCTTTTCCCAGCGACAGCCCGAATTCCCAGCCTTTGGTGATTTCTGTGAACAAACTGCCCGCCTGAGGGTCAGCAGGGCAGTTTGGATCTGCCTAAAGCATCCTCTTTTCCCAGTTCATTTATATTTATTTTTTAATATTTATTTTTATTCATGGTTATTTTCCCCTGGCAGTTTATTCCCCAGCTGAACGGCAGCGTCCGGCCCACATATTTAATATTATTTAATATCTAAATGTGTTTGACTGGCAGAGGCGGAGATAAAAGTGATGTCATTGCTCTGAATAACCAGTTCCTGCCACCCAAAAGTGGAGTTAGAAGGACTCACGGGTTTGTGGGGCTCAGGATGAACATGGAACTGTAAGGCAAGATTGGTTTAGGCCCATTTTTCGTCAAGTCATCAACGTCTTTCTTCTCCTCTGTTTTGCTCTCAAACTCCACGTTGTTCACTGAAATGGGAATTGGAGGGGAGAGAAAGGAGAGAGTTAAAATTGCATCCACAGTGTTCCCACAGGAGGCTCCTGCAACAGCTGGATATGCAAACAGTGCAGCTGGGAGAGCAAACAGCCTTTGGATATGTTGATTAAATGTGATGAACAATCATTTGATCATTATCCCTGCTACTTACACACAGTTCTACCCCACAACTGCTGTGCTGATGAGTAGTGGATCAGAAACAGCCAGGAAATGAAGCTGCTCAGTGCAGACAGACAAAGAAACCAGGCACTCATTTATCCAAGAGCTGCCAAAGTGGGGCTGGAAAACCCTTTTCAAACAGCACAAATTATTAGGGAGAGAGGATCAGCGAGGGATCCTTGGGAAGTGAACAAAAAGCAGAATGTCTGAGCAGCCTCATAATCCTGTGTCTTTTGCCACAGAGCAGGAGCAAGGTTGGCTTTGGAATGTGTAGAAGTGCAAATTCATAGATGAGATTTAATAATTTTGGGGGCTAAAACTGCTGAACTTCCCAGCATTAGGAAAAGAGACCTGGAAGGGGCTTTCTGGAGCCCCTGGATCTGTGCCTGCCTCGTGCAGCTCATTTTTGCCACAGCTGTGTGAAAGCTGTTGAGCTTCACCTCCCATCAGGTTATTAACTTGCACACCTCCTTCTCTAAGATTGTTCCAAACCCCACTCCCAAGGGTTGGGAATTTTTCAGTTTTCATCCTGAGTTTACTTGCAGTGGGTTTATGGGATAATTTACTGAAGATCATTTCCAATATATGAACTGGAAAATGTTTTATGCCGCAAATACTCTTCTTAGGCAGATACTCACCCATTCACTCCCAGGACCTGGAGTCCACAATCCCCACCCCCTTGGAATGTGCCAGGTGCAGGGCTTTTATCACTTTTTATTTTATTCTGCAAGGAAATGACAGTTCCTTGTGTGTGAGTGACATGTTCAATAAACTCCTTATTGTATCTCCAGCCAGATAGTGAGGAAATGGGCAGGACAGATAAACTGTGATTGGCAGGAAGTCAGCGTTGCAATATAGTAAAATTACCATTTAAGAAGAAAAAAAAAAGGAGAAAGAAGAAGGGAAAAAAGAAAAAAAAAAAAAAAGACAAGTCTTGTGGTTGACAACACAGTGAAAAAGCTCCCAGAGACCCTGCTTTTGGTTGTGCCCCTTGGAAAGCAGAGTCCTGACAGCCTGAAGGCTCAACTGGACCTCTTGGAGGTGACACTGCAATTTTCCTTGGCATCCCTACTCTCAAGGCTATTCCTGCTGTGCCAGGGATCAGCCCCTGATGGTGGCCGGGGGTCTTCAGGGCACACCATGGGCACAACGGTCTCGGGATCATCTGGAAAACTAAATCTACACTTACAGACCCAAAGCAAAGAGCTGTGGAGAAGGACAGGCTCAGTCCTTCTTGGGATCTGCTCCAGCTGAGGTGCAGAGGATTGCCCAAAGCTGAGGAATGGCCCAGCCTGCAGGAACCTGGAGCAGCAGGATCACCCAGGATGCTGGGATGGCTGTGAGGCCACGAGGACCTGCTGTTCCACACTGAACCAGCCAAGAAGTGTGAATCCATCCTGAGGGCCTGAATGCAATGCCACCACCTCCCCTGGCCTTTGCTGGGGGGGTCTGTGGCTGGTTAGGCCCCCAGGATGCCAGAGGAACCACAGCCCATCCCTGCTGGAGCAGGAGTTGGCAGCACAGCAGCAGAGGAAGGGGACAAAGCAGAGGACCTGCTGCTGTGCTCACCTCAGGCTGGTTTGCTGCACCAGCTGCTGATTTTCCTGCCCAGCCCTCGGTTTCTACATTTTCTTGGTTTTCTTGCTCCTTCATCTTTCTCTTCTGCAGAACCAGGGTGTGCTCTGGGGGAGCCATCTCCAGGGAACCTCAGGGGGTGTTTTCCAGAGCCACCAGCTTACCCAGGAACCCATTCTGGGGTACCTGCAGGCTGCTTGAATTGTGGCATTGCTGGTGGCCAGGAGAGACACCAGCTGACCCAAGAACCCAGGCTGTCTGAGTTGTGGATCCCATATCAGCAGGTTCTCCTCTCTGCCTCTTGTGAGGATGCCGGTGGCCAGGAGAAGCCCCCCCACCCAGTGTGTGCTGCCCCCTCCTCCAAAAGTTGGCTCTTTCCTGGCAATTCCCTGACTGAAAAAGCCTGGAGACACGGGCACTCACTTGGTATGACAGTGGTTTCCCCTGGTGGGGCCGTGATGGTGACGGGGATGTTCACAGTGGTGGTTTTGTCCAGGGGGGGTTGAATCATCCGCGTCACGTTCTTCTGGTTGTCGGCGTCTTCTGGCTGCTCAGGCACCTTCTGCAGGTAAGTGCTGGGCAGGGTGTGCACAGGGACACTCACACTCCCACTGGCCTCGATCTCACACTGGTTCTCCCTGAGGCAGAAGAGCAGGTTTTGGTAAATGTGGCGCAGGAAGGATTCAGAGAACACGTGTGTCTGACCCTGCACCCCTGTGAAACCTCAGGGTTGGGGTTTCACCTCTGGGTTTCACAGACTCTTCTCTGCCCTTTGCAGAAAAGCCACAGCCTGCAGGACAACTGGCTGATAGCACAGGATGGGGCCTTTCCCTCTGAGACCTGCTGGGCCAACATCCAAGCACAACATTAAGATGGACTGTGCCACTGAGTGTCGCTTTGTTCAGTTTAATGAGCCTCATAACTGAGCTTCATAAAGGCCCACGTGGCCCTGGCATGGAGCAGTGGCATTAACTCCCCAGCATCAGCTGGCTGCTGAATGAAGGCTGACATTCTGCTGCTTGTTGCTCTCCTGAGGCCTTATTTAAATGTGGTGGTTCTCTTTTGCCCTCCTGAACCGCTCTGTAACGCTGCTGTCAGCAGCTAAAGAGCTCCTGCTTTCCTCTGCAGCAGCAGCTCCACTTCAGTGAGCTGGAAAGGGAGCCTGTGCACATGAGCAAACTAAACAGCATGCAAAGTGTTTTGAAATTCATCTGAAAGGAAGATAATATAGACAGGAAAATTATTATCTCGGTGCCACTCACAGCTCTCCACGGTGACATGAACTCTATTCTAAAGAATCCCAGTGCAATTTCTTTTCCATTGGACTAATAAAGCTGAAAAGGCAATCTATCCTTCTTTATTAACTACTCCAAATGCTCCACCAGTACTATTTTTCTCATTTGACTTACATAAGAATTAAACCAAATGGGAGACATCGTTGTTCTTAATGGAAGGAGCCACGTGCTGGAACAACTGGTGGTGCAGCTGACAGGGCTCAGCATTAAAACAGAAGATCAAAGGGCTGTAAGCAAGACTGGGGGTAATTTTAAAAGATGCCCCTCAGAAACTTCTTTCAGAGGCTGTAAAATTCTCAGTTCTGTGTTATGCCCTAGAGGGTCTGTGGGTATTTGCATCAAGGATGTTTCCTTCCTTAAACGTGGTTCCTGTGGACAGAAATCAGCTTTGGGAGCCTCTGATTGAAGCAAAACAGCACTGCAGGTTATGGTGGAAGGTGGGGTGAGCACAAGGACCAGAGGGAATGCCATGGGGAGGGGAATAAGTAATTTCCTGAAACACTTATTTGCTATCATGGCCCCTGAGCCATCCCAGGGGTGAGTCTGTCCTGTCCAGCCTGGTCTTGGACACTTCCAGAGATCCAGGGGCAGCCACAGCTTCTCTGGGCAACCTGTGCCAGGGCCTCCCCACCCTCACTGTAAAAAAATACCTTCCCAACATCTCATCTATCCCTGCCCTTTGGCAGTGGGAAGCCATTTCCCCTTGTCCTGTTCCTCCATCCCTTGTCTCCAGTCCCTCTCCAGCTCTCCTGGAGCCCCTTTAAGCCCTGGAAGGGGCTCTCAGGTCTCCCTGGATCCTTCTCTTCTCCAGGTGAACCCCCCCAACTCTCCCAGCCTGGCTCCAGAGCAGAGGGGCTCCAGCCCTTGGAGCATCTCCGTGACCTCCTCTGGACTTGCTCCATCAGGTCCACACTCTTTCTGTGTTGGAGGCCCCAGATCTGGACACAGGGCTCCAGGTGGGATCAGAGTAGTTCCCAAGGCACGAATCCGAACGAAATCCACTTACTTGGGCTGGTGGTTCCGGTGCTCCTTCTCCGCAGCCTCCGCCTCCTTCTCCCCGTTCTCCTTCTCCACCGACTCGTAGGTGGACAGGGCCCTGTTCCTGAGCCTGTGCCGCCTGTGGGGCTCCTCCCCGTTCTCCCCCTTGGGCTCTCCATCCCTGTTGCCAGAGCGGGACCCTCCGCGGTGCCGGGAGCGCCGCTCTCCGCGGGCGCCGTTGGCGGTGCCGTTGCCATCCTTGCCCTGGCGCTCCGTGGAGTGCCGGTGCGTGCGGTGCCTGCGGTGCTCCTTCTCCCCCCCTTCGTCCACCGAGCCCCGCCGGTGGTGCCTCTTCCCCCCTTCCTGCCCCCTGTTCCGCTCGCTTTTCCCTTCCTTGCTGCCACCCTCCACCTCCTTGCTGCGGCTCCGGTGCTGCCGGTGCCGCTCCTCCTTGTTGGGCACGGCGGGCTCCGCGCTCTCCTCCTTGGGCGCGTCGCCCTTCTCCTGCTCGGCCTGCTTCTCCTTCTCCTTCTCCCGGTGCCGGTGGTGCTTCCGCGGGGCTTCTGCCCCATCGGCGGAGCTGCCCTTGGGGTGCTCCTGCACCTCCTGCACGTCCCCAGGGCTCAGCTTGCTGATGTTGTTCCTGCCCTCGCTCCTGGGCTCCACCACCAGCGGCCGGTCCAGGTGGGTCTTCATGTCCGGCCTGATGTGCAGGGTGGTGGCGTAGCGGACCCGCTCCTCGGGGTCCAGCTCGTTGTACAGGGCCTCGCAGCTGGCTCGGAAGTTGTGCATCCGGATCTGGCTGGTCCTCTGCTCCCACACCGACTTGGATTTGGAGGAGTTCTGCTGCTTGCTGAGGGAGGGAGGGAGGGAAGGTGAAAAGTGAATGCCTGAATTTACGCCGATTCCCTGAGCAGCAACCAAAAAAAAAAAACAAGGGGATTTTCAGCTGAGGTGGGGAATTAGAGGGTTGAACCAAAGGAATTGCAGGAATGGAGAGAGAATGGCTGGCGGAGAACATGAGCAGGGAAAGCCAGCGGGATCACCGGTGTTAGTTTGCCCACACACGCGTAAGGCACCCTGGAAAGTAGTTCTCCTGATTTCTACAACGTGGAAGCATCAGGTAGAGGCTGAAGGATTAAAGTGTCAGCACAGAAATCACACACCCCAGCCAGAGCTTTGAAACAGCCCACAAAGCTTCTCCACAATTAACAGCACCTTTTCCCCACCTGGAAACACCTGGATGAGCAAATTAGTGATGAGCAAGAGCAGTTAGACTGGCAAGAGGAGTGAGGGGAAGTCTCTGAAGTCCAGCCCCGGCCCTGCACAGACACCCCAACAATCCCACCCTGTCCCTCAGAGCCTTGTCCAAACCCTCCTGCAGCTCTGGCAGCCTTGGGGCTGTGCCCACTGCCCTGGGGAGCCTGTTCAGTGCCAACCACCCTCTGGGGGAAGAACCTTTCCCTGAGATCCACCCTGAGCCTGCCCTGACACAGCTCCAGCCATTCCCTGGGGGCTGTCCCTGCTCACAGGGAGCAGAGATTGGAGCTTTCCCTCATGAGGAAGATGCAGACCCTGATGAGGTCTCCTCTGAGTCTCCTTCTCTTCAGCTGAAGACACCAAGTGACCTCTTCTGCTCCTCTCAAGGCCCCTCCAGACCCTTCACCCTCTCCATAGGCCAAGATGGAGATGAAGTGGGAACACCTTTATCCCTTGAGACACCTGTCCTCTCTGTCTGTCCCCTGTTATGGTGACATCTCCACTGGCATTGCCTCAGTCCTTGGATTTGTCAGCACAGCACTTGGTTTCTGACCACCACACACAAAGGGCTCACCTACCCAGCCAGGGTAGGAAGGGAAGACTTTTCCCTTCCCTCCTAAAGACTGCAAATCAAAATCTGCTCTTGCATGACATCAAAGTAAACCCTCTGCCTTCCAGTGTGGCATTCTGGATTTAGCCTGGTGGAGGATCAGCACCCACGTTTTTCCTTGATGAAGCTCCTTCTAAAGAAGACAGGAAAGCCATTTCCCTTCCACCAGCCTGCTCAGACATCCCCACGTGCCAAATATCAGCCTGACCTCTGCACTTGTGGTGCAGCACCTCTGGTGCAGAACACAGAGCCCGCACGGGAGGAACATGCACCTTCCTTATGCACTTTCTGGGCTCCCCTGACAGTAGAAAAAGCAGCTTTTGCGTGTCTGTGAGCTGGTTTGGACTGGCTGGGTGTGTCTCTGTGCACAGGCCCCG